TTTTAGGTTCTTACTTTGGTACAAGTTTCGGTAATAGTTTGTAGCTGTTTTAAGTATTTCTGGTCTTTTATTTGTATAGTTTCCGTCTTTAGTCTTCAACTTTATCATCCAATCTTTTTTAGAGTTCAATTCTTTAATAGCCTTTTTTGTTCCGCCAGTTTTTGCGATGTGTTTTTTCAATGTATTTTGTCTTTTTAGTTTCTTATCTTTTCTTATACTTTCATTTATCTCTTTGCTAATTTCTGCTATTTTACAGCGGTTTATTTTGTTTTCTTTTCTTTGTAATAATTCTTTCCTCTCCTGCAGCAGTTGTTGTGTCTTATCAGAAACAATCCCTTTGCTTCTTGGATTTAGTTTCTTGGTTTCTGTTTGTAAAATGTTAATAAATTTTTCGTACTTAGCCTGAGTTGATATGTTGTTTCCTTTACTTTTTTCTATTGATTCTTTTAAAGAAGTCATAAGTTGGTCGCTATTACGTGTGTATATAAAGGAAGGACTATCGTTGTGAAACATCTTTTTCCTTTTTATAGGCGTGCTTGTCAGTCTAGCACGGACCATTTTATGGTCCGAATAAAAATTTAAATTATGTATGATGGATACATCCTGAATCCTTTTTGCATTATTAGACATAATGAAATCAATTTCATTTTTATGTAATCCGTTCGGGGAAATCCACGTCCATTGCTTTGTTTTCTTTTTCTTGTAAAAACTATTGAGGATCCTGAATTTATTTTCTAAAGCCAAGGTGACCAATCTATCTCCATTCTTGCTTCTTTTACCGTTTCCGTATTTACCCACTGTGTATTCTTCTCCGTTATTACACGTTCCTATTTGTCCATTAAAATCACCCATTACAATAATGTTTTTGTGGGAATCTATTATAGTTGTTCGTAAATCTTCATAAAATTTTTCAATTTTTACTATATCTTCTCTCTTATCTGATTCAGTTGGTGATTTTCCCAATATCTATGTTTTAATCTATCAATATTTAGCTGATACTGATATATTTTTTAAGCTAAATAGACCACATGTTGCATAAACAATGATTCTTTTCCATCTCATCAATAATGGACGTTTCGACTTCGAAAATATTTGATTAGGTATGTATAGTAAATGAAAACTACCAATCAGTTATTTGTTACTTTTTAGTGCTTTTGTTTGAAGTCGGTTTTTATTTTTTTGTTAAAAAGTTTTTATTTTAACGTTGCTCTTATTGCTTTTATCGCATTCATATCGAAGGCAGGTCCATTATAGCAATTTAATTGTAATCGAAAACTAATTAGCACGCCGGCTCACTACAATCTTCAATTAGCTCTAGCCCATGATTTTCTCACCGCCACACGTTATTAAATCGTTATACTTGATAAAAAAAAATTGCACGTGTATAATTAAAATATTATATTCAATACTCTTTTGGAATTTCAACAATTGCAATGCACGTGTATGAAGTGCGCTATATTGGAAATTACATTGAAAAAATTAACCCAAATTTTGCAAGAGTTGCGGAATTTAGGAAAAGGGTTGCAAAAAAAGCCCTTTTCTAACCCGAACGTCCGATGTATTGTACACGTGCATGAGGTAACAATGCAACGATGAGTCACGAAGGGCCTAAAACGTCGTCGATACCGAAGCGGACTTCGTATTATTATGCGAAGAGAGAAAAAAAAGATACGCGCTCCCTCGTCGTACCGTCAAGGAATTGTACATCTGCCGAAATTTCTCACGAGTCCGTCGTGAGCGCAGCGTATGGTATTATTATACCGGATCGCTTGCTATCTGCGTGTTCATGTCCACTGATTATGACAACTGGGCGCCTAGCGGTACTCGGCGACTACTTTTAATCAATTGCCTACGATTTACATATCCGGTTTAGCGAAACATGTTGACGCCGTTTAGACGGAAAGAGTTACAGCAATAACCATTTCGTATGCAAATTACTATGTCATTTTGGATTTTCAATCTCTCACGTCTTTATTGGGAATTCACACGTAGCTACTAAGTATCTCATAAATTATGTTTGATTAGCCAAATATTTCTTAAAATAAACGTTAAGCACGATTTTGGAAGTTTTCTCATGAGATTGAAGGTGAAAAGGTGAATACTTTTTTCATACACGTTTTCTATGTAAAATTAAAAAAAAAACTAGTGGCTAGCATATCTACACTAATATTATAAATGGAAAGTTTGTGAGGATGTATCCATGTATGGATGTCTGTATGTTTGGATGTAGGTGTAGATGTTAGGATGTTTGTTACTCTTTCACGCCAACACCCGAATAGATTTTAATACAACTTTACAATAATATACCTCATACATCAGAATAACACATAGGCTACTTTTTATCCCGGAAAAATATACGGTTCCCGTGGGATAGACTTGTTATTGTTTTTCTTATTGCTAACCCGAGCGAAGCGAAGGTGAGCAGCTAGTAATAAATACATAATTATGACATATTGAATATCTATAGATAATGATCTTATTATGTAAGCAACAAATCAGAGCTATATACGTATGAAGAGTGAGATGTGAAGAATTGTAATTCTTCATCTTCTTTACAAACATAAAATCAATTACCAATTGTTAAATATGCTGATTCTATACCAAAAAATAAATAAGAAAGTAAGGTATTGTATTTGCACGTGCGTTCACAATAAAGTATTGTCGTGAATGTATAGTAAGGTAGTAGTAGAGTTGTTTGTTATTTACGAAGCATTGTGCAAAACTGCTTTTTTGTATAAGCGTTCAGCAAGTTGCAACTCGTCTTGAGGTGACTTCACGACAGGTTGAGACATGTCGGGACGTGTCGGGGTTTGTTTATACTATACTGTATCTTTGCGTAGTGTTTTGAAAGCTTTTCAGACTTAAGCTACCATTCTGGGGTAGAAATTGTGGCATGTAAGTATAAGTCTGCATACAACTCGCTTCGATTATATGATGAATGTATATAAAACTAAGGCAATGGTAGCCCAGTGGTAACGCGCTCGCTTGGGAAACCGAGTGAAGCGGGTTCAAATCCCGGGTCTCGCACCTCTGACATTATCATGTGCGAATCATTTCCAACATAATTACCACTTGTCTTAACGGTGAAGGAAAACATCGTGAGAAAACCTGCATGTCTGAGAGAACCTAGGAAGTTCTCGAAAGACATGTGAAGTCCGCTAACCCGCACTTGGCCAGCGCGGTGGACTATGACCTGATCCTCCTTGTATTGAAGGGAGGCCCGTGCCCAGCAGTGGGACATTAAAAATAGGGTTCAATACAATACAATATGAAACTCTTTAGTATTGTTCGTTTATATCAACCTATTTCAGGACGATAATAAAGTAAACGTTATTAGAAATTTCGTTTTGCTGACTTGAGCTTTTCCAGCGCTAGAGGTGTTCATCGCAATATTCAATGATTTTTTTTTAATTTCAATTGCTATACCTATGGAATTAAACATTATGCTTTTTTATCTATAAAAATGTAAAATTATTGTAAAGGTAATTTTCTATAGAGGCTCGCGACATAAGCATACGTTACGTAATTTAATTACGCTAAGTACTCTTTAAGTATGTGCAAGCATAATATATTATTTAAATTAATAATTAAGTAATATAAGAAATCTAACTTATTATTTAATTAAAACAGCACCTTCTCACTCAATTAAATCATAAATTATCTTAAGTACTATTATTATGTATTGTATTATATAGATATGTATTTATGTAAGTAGTAGCGTGTATGTATATATGTATGTACATAATTATGTATGATATAGTAAGTATATTATATAGTATTATATATATTTATTAATTAGCTATTTATTTTTGAGTATCTATATATTATTTATATAACTACGACTGCACGAATTTAGCCCGCTTTGTAACACTACTTCTCACTATCATAGGTTGGCTGGAAGAGATCTCTTCTAGACATAAGTCCACCTTTGTAAACAATAACAATTTTTAAATTACTGTATTAATTTTTTTAAGCGCAATAAAAAATAGTAATAAGTTTGTTACTCTTAATTAAGGAGTCAATATTTTTTATTGAATGCATATTTGTAGAGTGATTAATTGCCGTGATACACTCTAATATATTGTAATGGCTTTTAAACTTAATTTGAACAAAAAGAAAATCATTGCTTCAAAGACGACCATTAAAAACCCAGTAGCAGGTCCGCCTTAGGCTCTGCACGTGCGCGTGCGCATGAAATGTTGTAAGCCAAGTATGGACTGACCAGTCTTATATCAGTTTATATTGGCTCCAATTTTCTCCAAGCATGTTGGTGTACAATCGGATCGTTATGCATAAGAATAAGAGCTTTTTAAGAGGTATTGGAATGTTGGCCCAATATTGGAGTTCATATTGGATTGTAATGTATGTAATAGAGATAAGTATGTTGGCTCGCGCCGCCGTCTCGCCTCTTAAGATCTCGTCGGACAACTTTTGACTGCAGCGGATTCCTGAGCCGCTTAATATGTATGTTAAAATGATTTTACTGACTATATATTAAAGTTATCTCAGTAAACCAATGATTATAGATTTTTTTATTATACTTTTAAACAAATTATTATATGAAATGTTTGTTTATTTTTCAATTTAGGTATGTTTGGGCTTAGTTAAGGAAAGAGAGTAAATATTTATCAATTGTTATTTTATTTTTAACATTTTTGTCAATCGCTTGATTGTATCATATAAATAAGTATATAAATTACTATCCCTAATACAATTAAAGCTGAGATACACATGATCACAATAAGATCCCTATTCCTATATCTAATAATTTTATACAATATTAAAATATCACAACACCAAGTAATAGTAAAAATTAAAGCTTTCTTGGCGCTATCACGAGTATTGAGCGAATTAACTAAAGCTTTTACTCTTAGATCTATCTATATGGCACTATAGAACTATTTATTATTTAAAGCTAACATCACAGACGGTTGCCGAAACCAACGGAGCAAGCACTGGTTTCATGGAAGACACTGATTGTTGTATAGATTCTTCATTTAGGCTTGTACCCAGCGGTCTTGGAAGACTGGGTACTGTTGCTCCGCGGTTTGACATTCTGAGTAGCAGTTGGCGGTCGCGAAGTCAGCTTCAGGCTTGGAGACTGCAGTCCAAAAGAAGGTGCCGGCATCCGTGCGGGCGAAGTGCACTGGGATGTAGAAATCTTCTCGGGAAATTGGCATCAGGTCATAGGAGTTGTCCTGGTTGCTGACAAGGAATGCGGCAGATTGGCATGCGTCCATGTCATTGTAGATTTTGCGTTCCAGCGCCTCGTTGCAAGAATTTTGCTCGTCCTCGTAGCACGTGTCGACAGTTTTGGCGGGAGCGCGTTTGCTAGTTTTCTTAATCATTTTCATGATAGGCTTCAGTAAAGCCTTGAAGCCACTGTTTTTCATTTTTTCACTGTTATACTTGTTCTCGTTGATAGAGTTGTTAGTCGCAATGATGTATTCGTTATTCGCGTAGTAAGACATTTTGGAAAGTTATAAAAGAAGAGAGCGTGTGTTGCTAGTGAGTTTACAAGCGGGAATGTAGGGCTGATCGGAACGCACGCGTATTTATACCTGACCGGCCGCCCCCGACATAAAAAGCTGCGCATGCGTGAAAAGCTCCCCTCTCTATGTGTGGGTGTAAAGTGGTTTATTTGATACTATTATGTTTTTGGTAAACACGATGCTCCTTATCATTTTTATGTGTTAGAAAACTATTCATCGTACTCTGTTTCAATTATATGCATCTTAATAGAGAAAATATTTTTTTGTTTTGTTATAAATATAATAATATTTAAATAAATACTCATGTGATAACTATGGTTATGGACATACATATATTATGTCTATAAGTTGACATTTAATATAATATGCAATTAATTTATATTCATATTTAATTATATGTACATCATTTTTAAACTCTAATAGCTGTGATACATAAATATGCAATTTTTCTTAAATTTATAATAAAGAATAATAGAAATGTGTCAACAGCCAAGTATCTATTAAATATTAAGTAACCAATGTGGTAACACTTAATCTAGTTCTATTAGCTTTTTCTAGTGTCCACGTGCGGTCCATGCGCCCTTGGTAATGATAGTATTGTTCATTGCCGTGGCGTGAGGTCGCAGGGGTCATGGGGTGCTCACCCTAGCAAGGGTGACTGATAATGATGCACTTGATTTAAGGTAACTTTATTACATAACAATGAACACGTTTTACTAGGGTGCGGTCATTCATTCTTATTATTAGTTAAGGCGTGTGCCATAGTTATAATTGAAGATAAACTTTCTCAACTAAAATCCTTATCTGTTATGGCGTAGCATGGCGTAGCAAGGTGATATATTTCTAAACTATGTAAATCTAAGACCTTTTTGTAATCCTTTCTTTTTTATTTTATACTTAAAATATTTAAATTAAAGTTCATCAACATTGTTTACAAAAAGGAAAATTAGATATATGATGCCACCTACGCACAAAATATTCGTGTGTACCGGTCCAAACATGTAAGATTTTTTCTATGCATGCCGATGTATTACAAAAAAATTAAGTTTAAAAGAAATCAGTATAGCGGTGATAGTGGGCGTTCAGCCAATGGGGTGCGCGCGCGCCGGCAGGTGCTGCGATCGAGCCGGGCACACATTCACGTCACTTTAAATATAAGATCTTTGAACACGTGCATTCGAAGGGGATGAAAATATGGTTCGTACACACAAATGAGCGAGAGCCCCAATATTTTTTATCGATATGAATAGATTCACGACTCCTTCATATCCGAAATAGGGTAACGCAAAGGCTAATTTGGTTATTGAAAATTGAGGGGTTGTTCGTGGGAATACTCTCCGTTCCTAGGTTCCCAGGGTTGCTTGCACATTGAGGTTTTTTCGGCGATGCGAGATTCGGAACGACGACAGATGGCAAGCGGTCGATCGATCCCGTTCTGCTTTGTTATAATAAATTGTATGGGTATTGGAATTAAACATTCCATTTAGATGGTTCAGTGCGTTTGTGCCGGGGAGGGATGAAGATGTAAACAAGTGTAAAAGGGGTCAGTGGAACTCAACCGGGGCTGTAATTAAATGTCTATTAGAGGCATTTTAAGATTATTAGGAACGATTGTGTAGAGTTATACCTTTTTAGTTTTTTGATAATTATACCAATTAGGGTATCATATCTGATGCTTTGAGTAGTTGTCATTAACATTACTTTTACTGAAATAAAAGCTTTAGTTTGATGGTTATGATAAAAAATACATATTATACAGATATTAGCTTCCAATATATTTTCTATTGTTTCTGAAAATACTATTATAGGAAAGTGAGAATAATTTAGCTATAAACGTAATGTAATTCCAGTTTTTACTTATTTACTTGTAGGTCCGATAATATATGACTCTACGATATCATTCCCACGTCTTAAGAGGCAAAAACGGAGCTCAGTCAAAGGGAACAATGGGAAAGAATAAATTTCAGAGAAGATGAACTTTGCGTCATATTTAAAAAGTGTATAATACCTCCTAGCGTGACAAGTGTGGGATCGAGGGGTCGAGGGTGCCCCTCTATTATATGTTTTGTTTGTGATTGCACTTGTCGTGCTACAGAGAGTGGGGTCGTTATTGTCCGTGATTTTATTGGATTCGTATTATTTTATTGAATTTCTTTTACTCTTACGTAAACATTTTTGTGTAATAAGTATATTTTCATATAGGTAATGTTAACATTTTCGTATTTTCAATATATAGAAATATTTCATTTAATAATCATTTATGTTGTTTTAGGTCTTGTGTGATTTTTTCATTATTTTAATTTAAGAAAGGAGAAAATAATTTGCACTATCACATACCTAAGTGCTTAACGATGTTTCAACTATTAGTTGAAAACCATTTACAACACAAAATATTTTAAGTTTTTATTTTTTTTAAAGATTCTTTTAGATACCTAATAATTTTCAAAAAAAGTAATACATAATAATTTTCTTATAATAAATCTTTGCAATACCTTTGCTCTTTGTGTTATGAGTGTGGGAATTCTGTTACGTGATTTAATGGTACAAAATTGAGGGTGGAAAATAAAGGAATGTATAAATCACCCCTAATCGTTTATTTTTTTGATTTGTACACTTGTTGCGTCACCCACGTTCGAAATAAAATGTTCAACAAAGTTATATTTGCCAGCAAAATGTGAGAAATATTTTAAACTAAGCTCTAAAATGTAGAGCACAAGATTGATATTGTATTGCGTTTTGTATTTAAAGTTATCATTAATTTAGTTAAGGGTAAAAGAATATGGGGGCGGTGAATTTCAGGGGTTGTTGAACAATTAACCGAATCCCAGGTAGACTAATTTCATACAAAAAAGGTCAGATGATTTTGCATTTGTATAGTCGTGATTAGATTTTTTAAAATTATTATTAATATATTTGTATTGAAAAATTTGATGAAAAAGTTGATGTATTAAAAAAGTTATTGTAAAACTGAATTGGATTATACATGTTTTGTTATTTACTTAGGATTGTTAAACTTAACATAAATATTGTCAAAGAAAAATATTACATTTTTTTAAAGTGATTTATTTTATTTATAAAATGTAATTTTCCACATAATTTGCTAAATTAGGAACAAGATGTGTTGAAAATTAAATACATAAGTTGAAATCTGTATAAAAGTACTAGATCTAATAATACTTTATACATGTACCTAAAAAATTATAATTAACAAGTACATACTTATGCAGTGTCAATAAACAAAATGAAGTTTTATTTCCCTAAGCCTGAACCCAAAAACATAATTTTTTTCTACAATATCTTTTCGAGTATTTTAAGATTATATAATCTTTATATTTATATGCAGGATAGTTAAGTCATCTTAAATATTTTTTTTAAATTTCTAAGCTATACAGTATACTTAATGAACAGGCAGTCGTTAGACGTAGTAAAATGAGGTGATAATAACCTCCCTTCTCGTTAAACTTCTATTTTATTTTGAATAACTCAGAAATGAGTTTGGGAGTAAAGTTGGAGAATATTTAAAAAAAAGGTTCTTACACCCTGGTTTTAATTAAGGATTGGATGCGCTCTGTTTGAGCGGTCTAATAAAAATCAAATAGCTTTTTCTACTGAGATAGCATCGACTTTATTTTAGATTATGTCCGTGATTTGAAGGAGTTACGTGGTAGGATGTTTAATGAATTCGTATCTGATTGCCTTAATACTTGTTATTTATTTCGGGTGATGTTCAGAAGGAATGTTCTCGATTACAGTGTATGATATCGATTCGATTCGATTGTTAAAAGAGCAATAATTTTAACCTCACGTAAAGTATTTAGTAGACTCGTATTTTCAAATGTAATCGGATTAATCGTTTAATTTTATCTTATTAGAATAACTTAAGAGGGACTAATAGGTATATTTTTTGTCTGTAATCTTGATATATTATTATTATTGGTCATATATATGCCTACTCTTAAATATAGTAGGTTCCTACAGTACCTAAAAGAGTGGATTGGTTTGATATGTAAATAAATATGTTAGTACATTAACACACGGCAACACCTAGGTCTATGGTAAGCTACGAGGCGTGTTTTATGAATACCAGATAGTTGATACACTACACATATATAACTTTAAATACAAACATATTATAAATATAAACACCCATGACTGGAGTAGGTACAATCATTCGTGCTCATTACACAATTGAATGCAGCGGGACTCGAACCTGCGATCGCTGGCAGAGCAAGTATGGTCACTACAAACTGAGCCAAACGTGTCGTCAAACGGTTTGATTTTTCGATTAAATTGGTTTTTATTATAAAAGTTTTCGACATATTCAAATATTTGTATATAATTCAGTAATATTCGAAATTTAACTTCAGACTTTTATCATATATCGTCACTATATATCACATTATTCTGTTTCGCTCATTATAGGTACATTTGATAAGTTCAAAATAATTATTCTCAGTGACTCATCAAGTACTGTATCAAAAGGAGTGCAACATCAACATGAGTTATTACTCGTATAGTGGACAATTAAAAGGATATTAAGAAGATGGAACACAACGAAGTACAATACGATTAAAAAACATACTTCATATACATATGTGTAGCTATGCTCAGTTTAGACTTTGCATAAACAAAATAAAATATAAATATTAGGTTTTACTGCAATCTAAATGATTTTAGCATGTTTACAAGAACATATATTTTAAAATATTGAGATATCGTAATTCATAAACAGCTAAATTGTAGAGTATGAAAATTATGTAAAAGACTTTATAAAATGAATACTTTGTCTATAAAAGGCACTATTTACTTTGAGATTACGTAACATTACTCATAGCATATCGGTTCTTGTGAACCCGTTGGGCGCTGCATGCCGCTCGCACGCGAATGCCTGCGCGTTCGAGTAATTGGAGCTAATAGCGTCCCGGCGCGCGTCATGTTTAGATCGCACGCGATCGTTGTTTATAGACAGAGCTATATAT